CAGTAGCACAATCGACGGGCAGCAGAGGACGGGGCTCAAAATGCCTATGGACAATTGACCTATACAATAGAGATAGGCTAGGTAAATAAATAGGACGTACCTGGTTCCGAGGCGAATACTACCCCAAGGCTCGGTCAGGCCGTAGGTAGGTGTAGGTGCATGTAAAGTGGTGTTTAGTGGTGTGTATAAACTTTGATCTGACTGGACCGTTGAAGTCTGACCGCAGATCCACCGGCGCTGCCTCTACTTCAAAGGCGAGATTTCTCAAAAGGGGGCGATCACCAATTGACAACTTCTGTCTTAATAATTAATAGAATCAGGCGTTACTTTGCGGAAATCCATTATATAAAAGCTTTTACAAAAATTTACTTTGCAAATATCCGCGTTATAAAATAAAATGATGTGTCTTACCTAGTATGAAGAAGCACCTCCCGCCCTCCCTCAATTGCGTGCACTAACCCCGTCACCACTAATCCCAGCACCGCTACTTCCAACACCACTACACTAGGCAAGACACACCACTGACGATAATACGACACGTGTTTCGCCTCTACACGAGGCATCCTCAGGTGATATAGACTCTACGGTGGCTAACCGCTAAGACTTCTATCTTAGCGGTTAGCCACCGTAGAGTCTATATCACCTGAGGATGCCTCGTGTAGAGGCGAAACACGTGTCGTATTATCGTCAGTGGTGTGTCTTGCCTAGTGTAGTGGTGTTGGAAGTAGCGGTGCTGGGATTAGTGGTGACGGGGTTAGTGCACGCAATTGAGGGAGGGCGGGAGGTGCTTCTTCATACTAGGTAAGACACATCATTTTATTTTATAACGCGGATATTTGCAAAGTAAATTTTTGTAAAAGCTTTTAACTTCTGTCTTCATTTCACTATTTCAGTTTATCAACTTTATTGTACACTATTTCAATCCATCAACTTTATTGTCCATTTAATTAACTTCAAACTCAACTAAATCCCCGTCAATAGTAATCAAAAACGTAACACACGGCACGACTAATGAACGGTGGATCAAAGGTCACTTCCGTTTCGAGTCACAAAGTTCAGCGTCACAACCGACAAACTAAATTCCTTCGTACGATATTAACTACTACGCCCGCATTAAGATTCAAAGTCCGCCTGGCTGGCACGCAAAAAAACTACATAGACAACACACAAAAGGCACTTAACGCGACGGTACAGTTAGACATTAACTTCCAAACAATTAATCGACCCGGAGTCTATTTTTCTAGACTCCACAAATTCCTCGTCGTTGCATAATTTGCTTACAAACCGACATTAATAGAGGTTATACGGGACGACCTCACAACGTGCTAGTGACTGCACTGCATTCAATCACTTCCGACCTGCCCCACAAGCAACCAATCCGGTCTTGCGCGAACGTCAAACCGTAGGAAATCACCGCTCTGCACGCCCCCTGGTGTCAATTCTTGACATTAGCGTTTAGCGCGAACAGAAGCATTATGTGAGTAAGTAGCTCAGAAGAATTAATAGACCCATTTACTATATTAACGGAATGCCCCAAATTGCAGGGCATTTAAAGTTAGTTGGAAATTTTATGCGGATTGGTATTATGCGCGGAAAACGCGGGGATTTTGAAAATCCATATTCCGGGCCAAGTCAGAACCTTTTCTCATGAAATTTAAATACTTATCTTAACATTTTTGTTAGGTTACTTATGAATATCGAATGACTTTTTTTTAATTATCTTCATTGCACCACATTAATTTTCGGATTTATTTCGGCAACTTTTGTGTATCATTCAATGCTTTTCCTTTCTTTATTTTTTAATTTTAAAGCAGAGAACCGCATGCATATAAATGCAGATACTGTGGTACTTTTTATGGCAGCAAGGGAAGGAATTAAAAATACTCCATGGAGTAAAATGCTTGTAACAAAAATATGGAGTGTGAAAGAAAAATTTCGATAAAAAAGAAAAAAATGTTAGTTAGTAGTGTAGTAGTAGTAAATAAATCTTATAAAATTAGTTGAAAATTATTTCATTTCTATACAAATAAATAAAATTGAAGTGTCTATTTGTAATGTCAAAATAACAGCTATGTACGAAATGCATATGAAAGTATATAAGGTACTTACAACAAAAACACATCTTTTGAAATTTTTGTCTGTCTGTCTGTCTGTTTGTTCCGGCTAATCTCCGAAATGGCTTCACCGATTTTTATAGGATTTTCACAAGCAGATAACTGATATTATAAGGAGTAACATAGGCTACTTTTATTTTAGAAAAATAATTAGGGTTTCGGGTAAAATTTAAGCCCATGAAATCCAATCGTAATAAATTCACGCTGACGAAGTCGCCGTGAACAGCTAGTTTTAAAATAAAATTGAGGGGAATTTATGGAGAATCTGTTGAAGTTTTGTCCTTACATTGGGGGATTTGACATGAATTTTCGGAGAATTTGACAAATTGGTGTTGGCAAAACTGCTATGTTACATCGAAATTTACCTACTAAGATTTGTTTGCAGGCGATATAAGAATTAGACGCGGCAATCACAATAAAACTTGCAAGTAATTGTTAATACTTTGACGGACCTCTTTTTAAATTCAAAGTATTGGACGGATTAATAACGGAAAGTCAATTTAAATAAAGTATAATAAGTATTTTTTTAGATTAATTAACTGTCCATCATAATTGCAGTTGATTTTAACTATTAAATTATTCAGTACCATTTCATTTCTACTTTCTTGTACAAAATCAAAGATAACGATGAAATAGTGTTTATAATTGTGTGAGTGAGAACCCAATTAGATACGTTTATTAATTTCAATATCATTTTGTAGTAATGAAACGGCTTGTTGCATCAGAGTACAATTGATTGTCTAATTCTATTAAAAAATGACAACTATAACTTCTAAATTGCATATGAAGACTAGTCGTAGGGATAACTAAACTTATAAAATTAACTTTGGTAATGTCGTAACGGTTTAACGATCTGTGGAAACGATCAAAGTGCTTATGGCAAGGACGTTAGGACGCATGCACTTAACGGTAGGTATTTTGTATTGGCGGAATTGGTTATTAATTTTTGTTTTATTTTTGTTTTTGGGCCAGTTCCGTGTAGACTACCACGTGCGCGTGAGCGACAGTCGTTTTGTTTATGAAATTCTTGTTGTTATTACTTATTGTTATTATTCTTGATGTTACGTTTTGTGTTTCTTGTTTTGTTTTAATAATACCTAGCGCGTACGTTTATAATTCTCGTGAATACGGCAACATGTTAATTTGCCTTGGAGAATCTCATAAGGCCAATATTTGGTTTATTTAACCTGTGAATTCGAATTAAAGTGGCTACGTGGAGACAAGCACAGTGGCAAATAGTAGGTTAAGTAGATAAGTTAGGTATTTAGACAAGTGTTGTAAATTATTAGGTATTTGTACCATCGTTAGCTGCAAGCCGCGCGCATTCGGCCTGGTGGCGCGTGGATCGAACGAAGTAGTCAATATTGACTACTTGTATTTGTCTTCAATTCACGGTGGCCTACTAGGAACCTGGACTTTTTATATAATCTAAGACATTATCGTTTCATTTAGCTACACTAACATGATGGAGCGTGAATAAAGCTAATAAAACGTTGTGAAAAGATGATTTTTTCCTCGAGATGGATTTTTTTTCTGACACATCATCAAAGGTATCGTTAGTACTATCGCCTGTCTTCATTTTCGAGAGCATTTCACCAACATCCTGTATAATTATTCTACCTCCTTAATAATTAAAATTCATCATAGATATTCAATAATATATTATGTACATTAAATAATTTAAAAAAAATGCCAACCTATTCCATAATTAAAATATAAAATAAATTTTCAAAAATAAAATAAAATAAATTATCTAAATAAATAAATCCAGACGGAGGGAAGGGTTACCCGATGGAAAATTAAAAAGTTCTGGCAAATAACTTGATTTCCATGGGAAAATCCTGACATTATATAGCAAACAAAATTAACAAGCAAAAACACGAATTATTGGTTTTGTGCACTCGCAACCCACGTTGCAGATTCCACCCGTCCCACGCAAAAGCCTACTATATTTTGTTGAAAAATGGAAAAAGCTTGACATTTCTAAAATTAGACCGAAATCCGGACAAACTTCAAAAGTCCTGACATATGGCATCTCTATCCAGACCGAATTTTGATTATTTTATTTTATTACGGCGACCTTAGCTTATTAATATTAACATCTCTTACTTAAAGTAATGTTTTATGTAACGTCTGAAAGGATCGGATAAAGAATTTTAAGGGTGTTACCACACCAATCGATCGATTGTCTATCGATGCTAATGATCGATCATCCAACACCCATTTGGTGTGGTAGCTTTAGCTGATCGACGGATACTGGTCGATATAACGTTGTTTGATCATCTATCGCCAATTAATCGATGTGGTGGTGGGCTCACCATCAGTATCTTTGTAAGTGGTAGAGCCATGCTGCAGCTATATTAATAGTATAGTTGTAGCACGAATGGGTCGGCTCGACCGGGGAAGGACCACGCTCTCACAGAATAGCAGCGTCAAATAGCAGCTTAAAACTGCTGTGTTTCGTATGGTGAGTGTAGAGAACCGGAGACCTTTTTTACTGGAAGAGAGGCATTACATCTTAGACCTCACGGGTGACAACGCATCTGCATTTTGATTCTTTATTGTATTGTATTGTAGTGGCCCATTGATATCCACATCTATCATCATAGATGTGGATATCAATGGGCCACAGCAACCACTTACCATCAGGTGGCACAGTCCACCGTTTGTCACCCTATCCTATAAAAAATGTATTCAGGAGAGAACAATAGGGAGTGGTCGGTGGAGCGGGCCGGGTTCTCGAATAATCAAGCAGCTCGATCGTCGTGGACTAATTCAATCGGTGTGGTAGAAACTATCGATCGACATCGACTAACCTATTTCACCGTCAGTCGATGCCATCGATCGACGATCGATCGATTGGTGTGGTAACACCCTAACACTCACCTAACTCGATGTCTTCTTCTGTGAGCGCATAGTGCATGAGCATCTCTACAGCGCACTTTACAGATGTTGCACACTTCTGGACCGGATTCCTAATAGATAATAAAAAAAATATATTAAGAGAAGAAGATTATACGTGGTAGAGACACGCTGCAACTTTATTGTGGTTGTAGCAAGAATGGGTCAGCTCGACGGGAATAGGACCACGCCCTCACAGAATACCAGCGTAAAATAGCAGGTTAATGCTGCTGTGTTTTGTATGGTGACTGTTCTTTTTTATAGAATAGGGGGCAAACGAGCATGCGGCTCACCTGATGGTAAGTGACTACCGCCGCTCATGAACAACCGCAACACCAGGGGAATCGCAGATGCGTTGCCGGCCTTTTAGAAAGGTGTAAGCTCTTTTCTTGAAGGTTCCTAAGTCGTATCGGTCCGGAAAAATCGCTGGTGGTAATCGATTCCACAAGGAAGTTGTGCGAGGGAGAAAACTTCTTCTAAATCGCACAGTGGTGGACCGCCAATCATCCAGATGGTATGGATGGTAACGCGAGTTTTGTCGCGATGTGCGATGGTGAAATTGAGCGGCTAGAATTAGTCCGAACAATTCCTCAGAGCACTCCCCGTGATAGATGCAATAAAATACGCAAAGAGATGCAACATCTCTACGAAAGAACTCGGTCGTCGACGATTCGAACCGCTCTGCGCTGGATGCGGTCAAGTGGAAGGAGCTGGCACTGGGGTGGCCCAGAGATGAGAACAGTATTCCATGTGAGGCCGAACTTACGCTTTGTAAAGTTGCAAGCGATGTGCAGGCATGAAATACTGTCTCGTTCTGCTGAGCACGCCAAGCTTTTTAAAGGCCAATTTGGCCTTCCCTTCCAAGTGACTACGAAACTGCACACTATTCGATATGTCGACGCCAAGGACTCCGAAGCTAGCTGAGGCAGCAAGGGGAGTGCCTCGAAACTGAGGAAATACGACAAACGGGTTCTTCTTAGCATTAAACGCGCAAAGTTGTGTCTTCTGGGGATTGAACTGGACTAGATTTAGTCGCCCCCAATCCGAGACTTTGTCCAGCAAAGACTCGACTTCAGACACAAGTTTATCCCGGTACTCGGCGACGTTTTCCCGAGAAATATTGACATGGCCGGTATATAAGGCATCACCAGTGCTGTCGTCTGCATAGCAATGAATGCTACCAGTTTGCAACATATCATTGATATGCAGGAGAAACAGCCTTGGTAATAGCACGCAGCCTTGTGGAACACCAGCGTTGATAGGCTTGAAATCAGAGCATGCACCGTCTACTACGACCTTGATGCTCCAATCAGCAAGGAAACTGTGTAGTGTTTTGTTACTTACATATCATTTTACATTATTTTAAATTCATTTTTCCATTCTGTTTCGATTTTCTGCATTCACCTCAAAACTGGATATTTTACATCACCTTTATTTCCATAGGATCCTGTAACGATTTTAAACCATAAGAACACAATAACAAATCATTTTCACTTCGTATTTTCACACTATCAGCACTTTTAAATTGGTGTCAATGGAGTCTACCTTTTTCGATCTTTTATTTAGTTTTCCGTAACTCTGCAATTTCGGGCTTTGTGCGCGCAGGTGCGCTACCTTTTTTCCTATATCAATAATATCTAATTTTTCACTTAAATCTTGCCGTTTTTCTATTACGAGCCTAAAACCAAAATTTGACATGTTTTGACATCGTTGTTTATCTGGTTGTCATGACAATTATATTCAAATTCGCTACCGGTCTGTTGTTTCTACTTCGATAATTCCACATAAATACTCTTTCCTCTTGGCCATTTACAAAAAATTTGCGTTTAATTTATATAATTTTTCCATTCTCTCTAAAAAGGTATTAAAGCCGAACAATCGGTCAAGAAAGTCAGTCTCGCTTCAGTTCTCAAATTCGAAGCATCTCCTAAAGGCCTTATCCTGGGGCCGTACAGCCCCGGGATCCTGCAAGCCTCTGTCCTGCCTGAAGCCGCTGGATCCTACAAGCCTCTGCTCTGCCTGAAGTCGCCGAATCCTGCACGCCTCTGCTCTGCCTGAAGTCGCCGGATCCTGCAAGCCTCTGTCCCGCCTGAAGTCGCCGGATCCTGCAGGCCTCTGTCCTGCCTGAAGTCGCTGAAGATCCTGCAAGCCCCTGTCTTGCCTGAAGTCGCCGGATCTTGCAAACCTCCGCATTCACCCGAGGTCGTCGCCTAGAGACGCCCACACCTTCACCTACGCTGTGCGTGCTCGTTCCAGGCGCTGAGAGCACTTATTGTACACCTTGGATCTTCGGGCTCAACTTCAACACTAATCCTTTTTTTAATTATTTTTTTTTTTTAAATAATTGTAAATCACGACATCCATCCTCATCTTCATACTCCATTTTGTTATATACAATTGTAAATATCTTTTAAATTTTAAATATATTATTTGCTTTTGTTCTATTTTTGTTGTTTTGCTGCTGTTAGGTAAGATTCTTTTGTATTTAATTGTCGCTTCAGGACAACTGGTGATCCATTTGCACAATTTTTTGGGAAGCCCATAGGAAGGAAGCTTCGAAAGAAGCGCTTTGTGCCAGACCCGATCAAAGGCATTCGCTATGTCCAAACTAACGGCCAATGCCTACCCCTTGGACCCTACTCTAGTGTAGAGGAACCGGAGACCTTTTTACTGGAAAAGAGGCATTCCATCTCAGTCCTCACAGGTGACAACGCATCTTGACTCTTAATCGAGGATAGATGTAGATGTCTATGGGCGACGGTATCCATTTACCATCAGGTGTACTGCGTGCTCGCTTGTCACCCTTATTCTATAAATAAATTATTCCTCATCATTATTGTCATTAGCCATGTAATGGCGGTGTAAGTATATTATATTTCCCTAACTACATCTAGTTGTAGGAATGTTTAAAACTGTATTTTTTTTTATTTTTTTTCTTCCAATTATACAATAAACGTTTTTAACATTTTCATCTGCCAAACTGCATTACAGTTTGTCGGCAGTAGTTCTCGTCTTACATGCTTATGTTTATATTATAATCTGAAGTATCATTTCTTATACATATACTAACATATGCTAACATCTATTTTATTATTTTATTTATACATATTTAGTGCAAAGCTTGTTATGAGGTGCACATCGACCAAATATTAAAATTGGTTCATTATTTTTGAATTGTTTTTTTTTTACATACATACTATATACAGGTTATTTTTGGAACGCTCCCGAAAACTAAGACAGGCGACAGCACCAAGTATACCTTTGATCATGGGTCACAAATAAATTCGATCCTGATGAAAAAAAAATCATCTTTTAACAACGTTTTATTAGCTTTATTCACGCGCCATCATGTTAGTACAGCTAAATGAAACGATAATTTCATAAAAAATATCATGAAAATACTGAAACATAAAACCAGCAGTGGAATGACTGAATTGTATCACCTGACTAAAGGTCAATGTACTCGCGAACGCAAATTCGCGCGGCCTGCAACCAGCGGGCCATACCACTACATACGCTAATGAAAAAATACTTAAATGAAATGTAACCAAGGTTGGAGTCATGCGTTTTTATTCATCGTGTAGGTATGTTTATTATTCTCATGTATACGAACCTCACGACATGGTATCGCTGTCTGTTCAGTCGCTGTGGCAGAAACACTGGTCCCAGTATGCGATCCTTAAATAAACCTGCCCATACGTTAACCGACCATCGGGTTTGGTGCCCGGTTTGTCGAACAGCGTGCGGGTTAACCTCTGAATACACGTGTGTATTTCTTCGGTTCCACAGGCCGTTTCTGGTAAATGTCGACTCATCCGTCCAGATAATGTGCTCAATGGAACCAGGCACACGTTGTCGCTGGTATAATAACCAACGGCAGAGAACTCGTCGGCGGTCGTGATCGCCGGGAACTAAAGCTTGCACTTTGTGCACTGCACAGTATGACACACTTGTTCCATCCCGACGTCTTAACAATTTATTTGGCGATACTTCGTGTACCTGGGTTCGGATAACATGTTGCTGTATTCACAATCACTATAAAAGTACGCGTTAAGCATTATTAAAACAAAAAACGTAACAACGAGAATAATACCAACACGTAATCACAAGTAATAACAATACGATTGAGCTGTCGCTCGCGCACGTGTGTACAAAATCAACACGGAACTGTTTCAAAAACTACAATTAATAACGAACCCCAACAAAACTGAAACCTACTGCTAGGACAGTTATTATACTCTTTGTCTACTGCGTCACAGCGTGAGGTGACACGAGCCGGCCGGGTTACATTCTGCCGTCGTCGGGTTACATAAAGAAGGACGCAACTAACAAAAACGTAAAATGGAAATAAAAAATAAATTGATGAATTTTTCTTTCAGACCCTGTGTCTAAAGTATATTAAAAGGTATCTATATGAAAATTGAAATATATACGTAGAGACATGAAGATTTTAAGGACGAACAAATTTTTTGATAGTTTGTTTATTTATTTAAATAAAACGAATTTTCCTTTTCATCTTAGCTTAAAAAACACACCTGGCAACACAAAAACATCGAAGGAAAGACGCATATAACTATTTGCGTCTTTCCAATCTAATAAATTAAAAAAAAAACTGCCATTCATTTAACAATTTTACATATTTTGGAAAGGTCATTTGAAGTTGAAAGGACGCTAATAGTAATTTACTACTTTTTTTTAATAAATATTAGAAAAGCATTGGTAGTGAGACACAAAAAATAATAATTTTAAAAAGTAATGATTTTAAAGGGGATATCATACAAGACTTACTACGATAATAATTAAAAATTAAAAATTTTGTACAACCGACTTTAATATAAATAATTAAGGATAACTCAAAAACTATTGGTCTGACCTCGATCAAATTTATATGGGACCACATGTGAAACACCAGCTCTTAACAATAAGATATAAGCTCTTAATAATAAGATATAGAATAATAAGACAAGACCAAGAATAATTGAAATTTAAGTAATCGATGCAAATATTGTTAAAGATGACGTAGCAACTGGTTAAATAAGTCTTTTCTTTTATGTTGAATTTGTATAAGTCTTTTCTACTAAAAAAAGTCATCTGTGATCAACAGTTACGTCTAAAATTCTTACGATAATTTCTAAAATATTGATATTTGTGAATATTAAAAAAAATTAGTAGATGCGCCTTCTTATCATGAATCGAATGGTATATTTAACTCATTTATTCATAAATTGTTAGATGCGCCCTTTTTTCTTACGACCGCAGCATTGTTTCGTACCGAGCTAGATACAGGTCGATAGCGGAGGGGGTGTGGGTACAGTCGCGTTCTAAAGTACTACATGGTATTGGGCTATTGTTTTATAATATTATAGTAATTAATTGTTTTAATGTAGAATCATAATAGGTGTTTTACTAGCTACTTAGAACTTTGGAAGAGGTGGGAATTAAAAATGGATAATGTTTACATGAGCATTATTTGTTATTTCTATCGTAATATATAAAGTAGTTTGTAACAAGAAAACTTTAGCTAAGGGTAACACGCCGTCCATTATGACGTCTTGGGTCACATGGAAGCCAGATGTTAATGGTGTGTTGGTGTTACTGGATGCTACTTCATCATCACTTTCATCTTCGCTTGAGCTTCCGTCATCAGGTCGATCACATGGTAATTTTTTCGGTATTCTTCCTCCACACTTTTAACTTTACTGCACAATTTTCCCCATTTACCTTCTCCTATCATATTTACCTTTTCGATCACTAGTTTAGTCATAAAACAATAGATATAAATAATTTTTCTTTCCTTCCTTTTTAAAACATCGTCGCCAGTCGCAAAGTAAGCTGTGTATGCGACTGTATTTTTGGAGCGAACAAAGCGCGGGAACCAATAGCATGCAGGCACACTAATACTGGCGGATTGTTCCCCCGTCGCGCGCCTTTCGTACCAATATGTGATAATTCGCTCAGTGCCCAAGTTCAAGGCCAGCGTTTGTTTTTCACCGTTCGCGCGTACATTAACCTCCATTAGTCAGGTGATATCAATTCACTTTCCACTGCTGGTTTTATGTTTCAGTATTTCCATGATATTTTTTATGAAATTATCGTTTCATTTAGCTGTACTAACATGATGGCGCGTGAATAAAGCTAATAAAACGTTGTTAAAAGATGATTTTTTTTTCATCAGGATCGACTTTATTTGTAACCCATGATCAAAGGTATACTTGGTGCTGTCGCCTGTCTTAGTTTTCGGGAGCGTTCCAAAAATACCCTGTATATACACATATACACTAATTCAACACATACTCAAACAGCACACATCACATATAGACTGCTAATTTTAACAGTACGTTACTCGTGACCTGTGGCGTACCGTTATGAATACCATGATCTCTATCGTATACCTATATACATATAAATACAATTGAGGTGTCTGTCTGTATATCGTAATAACTAGCTCTATAAAGACACTAATAATCTTCGGTATGGCCGAACCAATGGTAATGAAACTTTACGAACAGATAGAAGGTAAGGCCAGGAGTAATGTAGGCTGTATTATATCTGAAAAACTAGTAAGAAATATCCTTAAAAAATAGGTCTATGATGGTTATCTTAAATATAAATAGCGCCAAATTAATACATTCAATCCGGCTGGAGCACGGACGAGTCGCTAGTACTTGTGTTTTGAAAGCAGCAAATTGTTTTATCCGTGTGTAGTCGTCTGTGGGCGATGTCTTTTTCTTTAATAATTTAAAATTAAAAAAATTGTACAACGTACTTCAATATAAATTATTAAGAATAACTCAAAAACTATTAGTCAGACCTAGATCAATCCCATATATATCCCATATAAATCAAATTTATATGGGACCATATAAATTTATATTGCAAGTATGAATTTGTATTGGCGGTTGTGTTCTGTAGATAGTAGAATAAAAGAAAATTATTAAAATTCATACATATCGTTCGGACTAATTGCAGCCGCTCAATTTCACTATCGCACGTCGCGACAACACTTGGGATACCATCCATACCATCTGGATGATTGGCGGTCCACCACTGTGCGATTTACGAGAATTTTTCTCCCTTGCACAACTTCCCTATGGAATCGACTACCACCAGAGATTTTTCCGGACCAATACAACTTAGAAACCTTCAAGAAAAATGCGTAGCCGGCCTTTTTTAAAACTATGGTTGCCAACCAGCCTACCAAAGACTTCTATGGCAAAATCCCCCCATGAGGCAATCTATGGGGAGGCCTATGTTCAGCAGTGAACGTTTTATATGTTGTAATGAATGTATGTATAGAAGATAATCTACCAGGAGCACATGACCCACTGAGAGGTGACATTATTAAACCAACAGTAACATTACAACTATGGCAAATAACTCCCCTATGAAGCTATCTATGGGGAGGCCTATATTCAGCAGTGAACTTTTTATATGTTGTAATGAATGTATGTATAGAAGATATAATCTACCAGGAGCACATGACCCACTGAGAGGTGACATTATTAAACCAACAGTAACATTACAACTATGGCAAATAACTCCCCTATGAGGCTATCTATGAGGAGGCCTATATTCAGCAGTGAACTTTTTATATGTTGTAATGAATGTATATATAGAAGATATAATCTACCAGGAGCACATGACCCACTGAGAGGTGACATTATTAAACCAACAGTAACATTACAACTATGGCAAATAACTCCCCTATGAGGCTATCTATGGGGAGGCCTATATTCAGCAGTGAACTTTTTATATGTTGTAATGAATGTATGTATAGAAGATATAATTTACCAGGAGCACATGACCCACTGAGAGGTGACATTATTAAACCAACAGTAACATTACAACTATGGCAAATATCTCTCTATGAGACAATCTATGGGGAGGCCTGTGTTCAGCAGTGGACTTTTTGTATGCTGTAATGATGGATGTATAGAAGATATAATCTACCAGGAGCACATGACCCACTGAGAGGTGACATTATTAAATCAACAGTAACATTACACTATGCCAAAATCCTCCCTATGAGGCAATCTATGGGAGAGGCCTATGTTCAGCAGTGGACTGTTACAGGCTGTAATGGATGAATGGATGGATGAGTCTGTGGACGATGTCTCTTTCCTTTAAAAAAAACAACCACGATTGTAAGTATGAATTGTAATGACTGTTGTGTTCTGTAGGTAGTAGAATAAAAGAAAGATATCAAAATTATTACATAGTAGTTTGCTTCCCAAATCTTAACAGTTCTAAACAACGAAAAACCGGCCAAGTGCGAGCCGGATTGTTGAATGAATGGTTCCGTACCATTGTACCAGATTTAATACTACGTATGCACGAAAAACACGTTTCTAGTAGGGGAGCCCCCTTTAATTTATTATTATTTTCTACCGACTTCAAAAAGGAGCCGGTACTCAATTCGACTGTATGTTTTTATTTTTATATGTGTTACGACATAACTTTTTACTGGGTGAACCGATTTCGATGATTCTTTTTTTATTTAAAAGCTGGTGCTTCACATGTGGTCCCATATGAATTTCATCAAGGTCTGGCCGATAGTTTTTGAATTATTTTTAATAATTTATATTGAAGTCAGTTGTAATAAACTTTTAATTTTAAATTATTATTATTATTTGTTGTTATAGCGACAACAGAAATACACATTCTGTGAAAATTTCAACTGTCTACCTATTACGGATTATGAGATACAGCCCGCTGACAGACAGACGGACGGATAGCAGAGGTTTAGTAATAGGGTCCCGTTGGTTTCCATTCGGGTACGGAACCCTAATAAAAAGAGATGCACGCACTCACCGGATCGTGCTTCTTCATGTGGTTGTCCAACTTGAACCGGTGATTGAAGCCGAGCGCGCAATCGTAACACCGGTACTCGTGCCTCGTGAATGTCTCACTGAGGAGTGCCTTCTGCCGTTCCTCTTCTACCTTCGCAGACGAGACTTAGGTTTATAATAATAATAATAATCTCCTTTTTTCGACCAACTCGGATAATTTATTACATAATTAGTACAATTAGGTGATAATATAGCCTATTGTATGAGGAAGTTCAAGGTCACTAAGCGAGCTATGGAGAGGGCTATGCTCGGGGTTTCTCTGCGTGATAAACTTAGAAATGAGGATATCTGCAGTAGAACTAAAGTAAACGACATTGCCCAACCAATTAGTGAGCTGAAGTGGCAATGGTCCGGCCAGCTCTATAATATATCCAGCTTGAAGACAATCGATGGGGAAGAAACCTTCTCGAGTGGCAGCCTCGTACCTGGTAAGACATGCAGGAAATCGATGGATGCAGGTGGCATAGGACCGTGCTTTATGGCATTCCTAAGTTCAGCGGTTGACTTGTGAAGGGCTGTAATGATGATGATGAGAGAATATACAGCTATTTTTAATATTGATTAATTAATTGTATATATATAGTTTTTATCCTTTTATTGTGACATTGGCTACAAGGCCTTCGCCAGTAAAATACATCAAATGTTGACATGCAATTTGTTTTATTGAATAAGGATGACAAACGAGCGGTAAATGATTGTTGTAGCCCATAGACAACTACATCTATCCTCGATTGAGAATCAAAATGCAGATGCATTGACACTCGTGAGGACTAAGATAGAATAACTTTCTTCAGTAAAAAGGGTCTACGATTCTCTACTTTCACCATACAAAACACAGCAGCATCAAGTTGCTATTTTACGCTGGTATTCTGTGAGAGCGTGGTCCTTCCTCAGTTCATTAAATTACAGCAGCGTGGCTCCACCACGTAAATGTGCTTGTGTAGGTGTCTACAGGCAAATAATATGCTCGTTAGTGAGCATTACTTCAATAAAAAATTAAAGCATAGAACTGTAAATAATTTTTATATCAATTGTTTTTTTATTCAGTTATTGTGGCATGGCTACAAGGCCTTTAGCCAAAAATAATATATAGAATGCTGTCATAATAAATTACAGAAACGTTTACAAAATTGTTCACAATACGCGGCACTATGCAAGTAGAAAGCAATGCCGAAAGTGATCCAGGTTATATTCTATCTCTTTTACGCACTATGATATTACGTACCTCCTCCCAGCTCAGCACGACCATCTCCAACTGGCTGCTGTCCATGTTCAGCTGTTGCAGTTTCTTACTGACCCTGGAGTTGGTCACCACGCCGGCTGGCTTCTCGCGCTTTGGCGCTGGATGCTTCCGGCGATCGATTTTTATTTCTGTAGAAAATGTTTTTTTCTAAATTCTTACAAAAAACAAACGCACACACATTACTTATTTTAAAATTATTAATAGCCCATCGTAATTGAAGAAAATTAACTTTCAATACAAAGTAGGTTTTTATTTAAAGTTATTTTTTTACCATAATATGGAGTGGATATCATGGATCTACCACGTCTAATATATATTATACGTGGTAGAGCCATGCTGCAGCTATATCAATAGTATAGTTGTAGCACAAATGGGTCGGCTCTACCAGGGAAGGACCACGCTCTCACAGAATACCAGCGTAAAATAGCAGCTTAACACTACTGTGTTTCGTATGGTGAGTGTAGAGAACCGGATACCCTTTTTACTGGAAAAGAGGCATTCTATCTTAGTCCTCACGGCTGACAACGCATCTGCATTTTGATTCTTTATTGAGGATAAATGTAGATGTCTATGGGTTACAGCAACCACTTACCATCAGGTGGACTGTGTGCTCGTTTGGCAGGCTTATTCTATAAAACAAGTTGGCTGTATGAAAGTGTTTTGTAATCGTAAATAGTTAAAAAAAACTTTTTGATGTCATACAACTATTAGCAACTGTTCGCGCCAAACGCTAATTTCAGGAACTAACGCGAGAGGGCGCGCCTCGGTGCCATACCGGTTTTGACATCGGCCGAGCGGTGGGTTGAGAACGCGTAAAGGCGAAAGAGTCGTCTGCCAGCTGTGCTTGGGACCACACGCTGTCATTTTTGTCGGGAACTCGGAATAATTAGGCGCGGCAAGTAAATATACGGTCTAGGATTTGTGACGCACATTCTTTGCTGGAGAGCTTCCCAGGGACTCATTGTGTATGACTCAGAATCTGCATAAGTGCACTCGGCAATATTAGCTAGTGCAGCCTTTGATATTCTAGAAATAACTGTTGCTACGCGAAACGGTAGTGACCTTTGATCCGGACACTCCGTGTTTTTTTTTGTGCGTTAACCTTATAACAAACGAGAGTTAGTGGTTTCTGTAAGTTAGTTAATCGTACGATAGAGTTAATGGACTGTCATCGTGACGAACGAAGAAGTGGTCCAGCGCCGAAGCAGTCTGAAGCGGTGCAGCATTTGGAGCAGCCTGGAACTCGGCCGCTGCTGGTCGCCTATGCTTGACAAGGCCCCACACATTCACACCCCACTGTACACTACTCGCCATCCACTATTACACACACTCACGGCCTGCCCAAGCCTTGGTGCGAAGTTAGCTTCGGATAATGGTAAGTACTATGTGTTTCTAGCTTCCTCCCATATTGTTTATTGTAATTAGGATATTTCACGTGGCCATATTCTGGCCCCGTCACTCTGCTGCTCGTCGATGGGATTACTCATGGGCTCTAATCCCGTCATCCTTGATTGGGGCAGCTAGGAGCGTGTACAGCCCCCTCTATTTTTATTAAATAGAAAGTATAACCTATTTAATAAAAAATAATCATCATATTCAGTTCACCATAACAAAAATTAAAAAAAAAAACATACATACAAGAAACAAAGAGTCGAATCAAAAACGTTTTTGAGGCATTTTGGTAGTTGGCTAAGGATACGTGACGTCATTCTAATTTCAATATGGCGGATGCCCCAAGATGGCGGATGGTGCTTCCCATCTCCTATTTCGTTTGCACCTGCCGCCTCCTACGACACCCACGTGTTTATCTGATGTAGTGCAATAGTAAGATAATCCACAACCAACACATACACACAGGTAATGCTAATTAAAGTGTATGAAAAACACTTTTCTTACCTTCCTTCTTTTTCTTTCTCTTTTTAGATTTACGCTGCACTCTTTCTGTTTCTAGTTCTGTATCTTTCTTCTTAAGTTTTAATGGTTCATCGTCAGAGTCAGTAAAGTCTTCTGTTAGAGTCTTTCTTTTATTATCATTTGTCTTTGTTTTGCCGTTATGAATTGCATCTTCTTGGATGAAAGGATCCGATTTAATAACTGTCTGTAAATAAATGTGCATTGCATTTATTATTTATTTTAGTTTTTTTTTTAAAAGAGTAGAACCATTAAAATTTTCTTCTCTATCGTAGTTTTACATACATCAATTTCACAAGCACAAACATCCAGGCCCGGAACAATTATTTGTAAGCCATACAAGTACTTGTTCCGTGCGGGATTCGAACCCGCGTCCCTTAACGCTGCAACTCATTGATAAGCCACAGCGCCACGGAGCCGTTGTTAAGCGACTAGACGCTGAGGTTTGCGACACGACCGACGAATTTCACTTACAATTGCACAATCCATTATAACTTATGAAAGTCTATTGTTGAACATAGATTTCCTCATATGGGATATTGCCATAGTTGCCACGATTGGCTGGCAGGTTGGCAATTTTGGGTCGTTATCACGAAGATGGTGCTGCTCTCCATCTGTTTCAGATTCCCTCTGTTGACTCTTACGACACGCATGGAACGGATATGGGGTAGTGGATACTTTTTTTTAATAGGAGAGGGGGCAAACTAGCATGTGGCTCACCTGATGGTAAGTGACTACCGCCGCCCATGAACAACCGCAACACCAGGGGAACCAGGGGAATTGCAGATGCGTTGCCGGCCTTTTAAAAAGGAGTAGGCTCTTTTCTTGAAGGTCCCTAAGTCGTATCGGTCCGGAAAAATCGCTGATGGTAATCGATTCCACAAGGAAGTTGTGCGAGGAAGAAAACATCTAAATCACACAGTGATGGACCGCCAATCATCCAGATGGTGTGGATGGTATCGGGAGTTCTACCGCGATGTGCGTTCGTGAAATTTGGCGGCTGGGATTAATCCGAACAATTCCTCAGATCACTCCCCGTGGTAAATGCGAAAGAAAATGCAAAGAGATGCAACATCTCTTCGCAGCGCCAATGAATCGAGTATATATATATATTAAATATTCTCACACTGCCACTGCACGATCGGCTATAGTTAATAAATATATTAACTTTGGCCTCTCAATATATTTACACGTGGTAGAGCCATGCTGCTTCTATATTAATTGTATAGTTGTAGCACGAATGGGTCGGCTCGACCGGGAAAGGACCACGCTCTTACAGAATACCAGCGTAAAATAGCAGTTTAACGCTGCAGTGTTTCGTATGGTGAGTGTATAAAACCAGAGACCCTTTTTACTGGAAACGAGGCATTCCATCTTAGTCCTCAGGGGTGACAACGCATCTGCATTTTTATTCTTAATTAAAGATAAATGTAGATGTCTATGGGGCACAGTATCCACTAACCATCAGGTGGACTGTGTGCTCGTTTGTCACCCTATCCTATAAAAACAAATTTACGAGAACTTATTGTATGTACACAAAAACAAAAATAGTTTTATTAAAAATAGTGATGTACATTCTGTAGATACTAGGAACAAGTACAAGTTAGTTATACCAGATACTCGACTCCAAAGGGTCAGTAATTCTTTCATGAGGCAAAGTATACGCTTTTATAACCAAGTCCCTGAAAATATGCAGACCTTTTCTCTCAAAAGGTTTAATTTATTTATCAAGCAAAAATTGTCTAGTAACGGTTATTATACTACTAAAGAGTACACGACTGATAATAACCCCTGGGAATGAGGTGATCCCTACCATGCTGTTTCTAAATGTTTTCATAATAATTTGTTTAGGCTAAATATTAACAATTTTAAAACTTGCATTCATTACGCTCAATCTCTGTCGCCTGACGTGTGGGCGAAGAACCGGTTGACGGCTTAGCTGCGGGTCCGGGTTTTGCAGCGGCCGGCCGCTCCCTATAGTCTAGAAGTTACTCTCGTATAGTTTGGTCGCGTGACGGCTGCCTCTAATAGCGTTGTCTAATCTCGTGCATTTTGCGTGACAACGAGGTCTGTCTTATTATAATTCTTGTTGTAATAGTTTGAGTGATTAAATTAACTTCTATTGCCATTAATTTGCGTCGACGAGTTGCTTTTGTGGCATTTTAATATCGTACGAAGGAATTTTGCTTTGTCGGGTGGACGCTAAACCTTGTGACTCGAGAAGAGATCGCGTTCGTGCTCGTGGTTATAATTTCGTGTTCGTGGGACATTGAACTTTGACCGACCGTTCTTAAGTTGTGCAGCGTGTCACTTGTTTTAATTTCGATTAACGTTGATTTGGTTGAATTTAAAGTTGATTAAATGTACAATAAAGTTGATAAACTAATATAGTGAAAATAAAAGCAGAAGATTTCAATTGATGAACGCCCACTGGAGGGATCGCACATTTGGAGAAAGGCAGCGCCTGTGGATCTGCTCTCGGATCATATCGGTGACGTCAGATTACATCTATACACACTTTCACACACTACTTTACATCCACTTACTTATCGCCTGACTTTGCCTCGTGGTCAACCCTACCTCCTGAACTCGGTAAGTGGTGTTTGCTTATTAGCCACTAGTTAAGAATTATCCATAGGCCATTGGGCCCGAACCCTCTGTTGCTCGTCGAATGCCCTGGAACTCATGGGCCCTAGTACAGTCGACTTTTGTCGGTGAAACTGGGGGCCGTAACATTTTCTGGTAGCAGAGCGTGGTTGATTGTTTCTCCAATCACGCCCGGCCGTAATAAAAAAAAATTAATATTTTTTGTGTTTTGTTAGCGGATCGGTGGGTAGAATTATAACCACGCCCGTTAGGCTACGCAAGCAGGAGTGTAGTTTAGGGTTAGGTACCTACGCGTCAGGTATTTCGGGTAGGTAGATTAAATTGCCGAAGGGTCGGTCGCCTGAGCGAGGCATCTTTGCTGACCGACTGTAGTGTGTACTTGCCGTGTAGTGTAATTTGTATTTAATTTAATAAATAGTAATTTGTATAAAATATTATATTGTAAATTGTGCTTTTTAAAAAAAAGTACCGCTGGGTTTCTTGCTGGTTCTTCCCAGGACAGAGGTTTTTTTTGCGAACCAGTGGTAAAAGAAAAAAATGACTTTCAATAAGTATTATGTACTGTAATATGATCTATATTGAATAAAAATGATTCTATTCTATTATATATCGTTCGTTGATCTAGTGGTCGTAAACGCAACTGCTTACCATATGGCCGAATTCATGGGTTGGAATCCCGGTTCATGCCAAAATCAGTTTATGGGTTTTTTTTCTGTAAAAATATTCTCAGTGACAGCCCTAAGTCAGGAAGTTGGTGATGTTTCACCCCGTGCCTCGGAAATCACGTAAAGCCGTTGCTCCTGCGCCTGATCTCTCTCCAGTTTACCGTTGCCATTGGACTATGAGAGTGAGGGAATACTGACTGAACCCGTGCTTGCGCACATACTCGTGTACTATAATCCTGTATTGCGCTGAAGGCTAGTTGAGATTGGTCGCTATAAATTATTTCTCCAAAAGAAGGTTTTTTTCGACAGGCACTATAATTAATAAATATTATTAGTGACTAGCTGTCCCTCGCGACTTCACCCGCGTAGAATTTACTACGATTTCATAGGTTTTGATTTTTTGCACGGAACCTTAATTATTTTTCTAAAATAAAAGTATCCCAAGTTACTCCTTATAATATCAGCTATCTGCCAGTGAAAGTCCCGTCAAAATCGGTTCAGCCGTTTCGGAGATTAGCCGGAACAAACAGACAGACAGACAAAAAGTTTAAAAATTTTTTTTTGATTTGTTATTAGTACCATAAATACTTTCATGTGCATTTAGTAAAAAGCTGTTATTTTAAAATTACAAACAGACACTTCAATTTTATTTATTTGTATAGATGTGGGCAAAAGTCTATTATTTTAATTATGTAGTACATACCTTAAGATCCTCATTGTCCAGTCCCTGTTCTTCCACATTCTTATCACACACATCATCAATATAAAAATCATCAACAGACTCGTGATCTTGATCCTCTATCTTAATGAATGTTAATGGCAGGGTTCCATCAGGTTCGTGTAGATTTTGGGACAGCTCGAGGGTTTCATCATATTTGAATTCTTGGGTGTTTGTGTCTACGTCTTTCTTTGATAGTTTCGACAGGGGCAATAGGTGTGTCGATTGTTGTACCTGCAAAACATTATATAGTGGAACCTCTGACCTCTGAGGAAATGTTTTTTTTATAGGATAGGTGAGAAACAAGCACACAGTCCACCTGATGGTAAGTGGTTGCTGTGGCCCATAGACATTATATCTATCCTCAATAAAGAATAAAAATGCAGATGCGTTGTCACTAAGATGCAATGCATCTTTTCCAGTAAAATGGGTCTCCGGTTCTCAAAAGTGACATTATACGTGGTAGAGCCATGCTGCAGCTATATTAGTAGTATAGTTGTAGCACGAATGGTTCGGCTCGACCGGGGAACGACCACGCTCGTACAGAATACCAGCGTAAAATAGCAGCTTAATGCTGCTCTGTTTCATATGGTGAGTGTAGAGAACCAGAGACCCTTTTTACTGGAAACAAGGCATTCCATCTTAGTCCTCAAGGGTGACAATGTATCTGTGTTTAAATTTCTTCATTGAGGATAGATGTAGATGTCTATGGGACACAGTATCAACTTACCATCAGGTGGCCTGTGTGCTCGCTTGTCACCCTTTTTCTATAAAAAAGAGAGTGTTACTTACTCAAACGGACTCCTGATATAGGCATTAAAATTCTATCATACATTACAGCATATTACAAGCACACTGCTAAACATTGACCGCTCTCATAGTTGGCATGCTTGGCAGGTAGGTTGGCAACCACACATTTTTATTACTCTTAGTTGTTATGAGGAAGACACTGCCGCTCATCTCCTGTTTCGGTTTCCTCTGTCGCCTCTTACGACACCCACGAGACTATGTACAACATGTAACAAAACCCTGTGGTTCCCTTTAAGTGCGTTATCAGAGTCAGTATTCAAACGTAAGGAAATAACTTTTTTTCAAAAAAACTTTAACATTAAAAAGGATTTATAACGCGCATTCCTTGTTGGATAGCTTTTCCCGGGACTTATTGGGTACGACTCAGAAGCTGTATAAGTGCATTCGGCAATATTAGCTAGTGCGGCCTTTGATATTCTAGAATTAACTGTTGCTACGCGAAGCGATAGTGACCTTTGATCCGGACACTCCCTGTTAGTTTTGTGTGTTAAGCTTTAAAACAAACGAGAGTTAGTGGCTTCTGTAAGTTAGTTAATAGTAATAGTTAGAGTTAATGGACTGTCATCGTGACGAACGAAGAAAGTGACTGTGGACGGCACCGCGTAAGATTACCTCAATTTGGAGCAGTGCTGCCGCCCGGGCTGCTTCCGACTGCAAGGTCTACTAAGGTCAATCACCATCAGTCACACCCAGATACACATCACAGCACCTTATTTCCCTTGCACTAAACAACCACATACGACCTGACCGAATCCTGAGGGAGCAGTCGCCTTGGATATAGGTAAGTAAGCTCCGTCTAATATTCTCCCTGTTGAATGGCCGTAGTATAGAACGCTCCCCCTTTATTGTTTAGTGTAACTAGAGATTTTCCACTTTGGCCTTAGGAGGCCCGACCTACGTCTGCTCGTCGAAACTCAGCTAAATAGGCCCCTGAGGATTTGACCTTTATGGGAGCAGCCGTAGGCCGTAACAAACTGGTAGCAGAGCGTGGTTCCGGGTTCGATTCCCCGGTCGATCTCGACCATAGTGTTTGATAAAAATTAAACAATTCTGGTGGCAGGGAGCGTTGGTTTGATTGGTTTAATTTGTATCTACAATCACGCCCGTCCGTAATACGTAAAAATATTTTTTTGTACGTCATAATAAAATTATTTTCCTTTGTTGCTTGCTTATTTGGTTAGCGGGTAGATTTGAAAGCCTCGCCCTTTTAGTGCGCAAGCGGGAGCTTTTCTAGAGGTATACGTCATGTAGGTAGATGGATATTATCACGTAATCGGTTAATTATCGTTGTCGGATAGTTGTAGTGGATTGCTTATCGAAGGGTCGATTTCCGAGCGAGGCATTTTTTGTTAATCGACCGTGATGTGTATGTTTAGTCGTATTGTAATTTGTATTTGAGCTAAAGAGTAGTCATTTGTATTTGCGCAATTTGAATTTAACTTGATTTGATCGCATTAGTGTTTGTTATTTGTTGATTTGATTTGTGTCTTTTCTTTTGTGCTAACTTGTATATGGTTGATACGTAGTAATTCGTATTTGTGTAATTTCTATTCAACTCGATTTGATAGGAACTGCATTTATTAACTGTTAATTTTTTGTTGTATTTTTTATTTGTTATCTTTGTAATTTGTGCTCGAGCCGCGTCGTAATTTGTATTTAGTAGTGATGTCATCGCCCAAGCTACTAATCCGTTGCCTGCGGACTGAGTTACGCTGGGCCACAAGCGCCCATGCTTTGATAGGTCGACCGGATAGGGTCCATAACTTGATGAAGCGGTTCGAGCAGGTGGATGATCGAAGGGACGCAGTGGAGGAGGCTTACGATGAGCTCGAGGATTCAGATGTGGAAAAGGGAGTCCTGGATTCCTGCTTCGCGGACTACGAGCAGTTCTTTTCGCTCACGGACGAGTTGATCGAGGCTGAAGGCAGGTATGCCGAGGAGGCGCGTGAAGCTCGGATGAGTGGCCTGCCCGAGTCCTCTCGGAAGCAGCTTCAGCCGGAGCTGTTGGGACGGCTCCCAACTCTAGACCTGCCAAGGTTCTCCAGGGTCCTTTCCGAATGGCTGACCTTCGTTGGTCTTTTCGACAGCCTAGTGGACGCCCGGAGTGACTTGACCCCGAGCCAAAAGATGGCATACCTCCTGGCCTCACTGGAGGGGGAGGCCCTGGGCGTCGTCGACGACGCCTACCAGACTGCTCGGGACCTCCTAGCCAGAAGATACGCCAACGTTCGGCGAATTGCGGACGAACATGTTAAGCAGCTTCTAAGCCTCCCGCTGCTTAGTGACCGGGCCAGACTACGTCCGGACCTGTTGGATCCAGTCTTGATGGCCTGTAATACGTTGAGGCGGCTGGAATTACCAGTGGGCGAATGGGCTTTTTTGTTGCTCCGCATCGTGCTGTCCCGTCTACCTCTCGACCTTTGACGGCTCCGTGGCGCAGTGGCTTAGCAATCAGTTGTTGCGCTGGGGGCCACGGGTTCAAATCTCGCACGGAACAAGTATTTGTATGGCATACAAATAATTGTTCCGGGTCTGGATGTTTGTCCCTGTGCAATTTATGTTTGTAAACTGCCTCCACGACACAGGAGAAAATCCTAGTGTGGGGGTAACGTTTTTTAAAAAAAAAAGACATCAATTTTGAGGAGAGGTACGGCGGGGACGAGGCCTCCTATATTCCGCCCTTCTGTGACCTGCTGCGGTTTTTGGAGGAGCAGTGCCGGCAGATCAAGAACGCGGCGGGCACCGTTGACGACTTACGAGACGTGCCCAGTGAGAGGCTGAATCCGCCAGGCAAGTCGTCGTCAACCCCCCCCCTGCTCCTATTGTCGAACATCTGATCACCGGGTAACGCCGTGCCCGAAATCATTAGGTAAGCCGGTTCCGGCGAGGCGAACTGTCGCCAAGGAGCGCCGCTGGTGCTGCTCATGTTTGGGAGGGCACCTCCAGCGAGACTGTCCGCATCGGCGGCCCTGTCTGCATTGCCAGGGCAATCATCATGCAGTTTTGTGCCTGGGTGCGAACGGCGTCTCCTCTCGGGGCTCTGCCAGGCCCTCGACCCCCACGGGCGGGGGCGCTCAGCCACGCCCTCTGCCGGGCGACTCTCGGCGCCCGCCGGCCAGCCACCAGGCCCCTAAGTTTGAAAGGGGTCCCTCCCCCGACCAGTCGGGGGGTAATTCCCCAGGGGTGGGGGTGTCATCACCCCCCCTCAGCGTGTGGAGAGGAACTTCACGGCCAATCATCGGTCCGCTGGACCCTTCTCACTCCCGTTAGCTGAGTGGCCGCGACTGGTGTACCACTGTTCCCCATTTGATGGAGGCGGCCCTGGCTAGCTGCCGCCTTAGCTCCCACCACGGCCGCCTCCACTGAGCCTTAAGCCGTCAACAGTCCACTTGTCAAAATGTCCTGTTGCCGACGGCCTCAGTGAAGGCGTACAACCCGAGTGGCGACTGTTAGCGGTTCGCGCTCTGTTGGTCTCGGGTTCACACCGTGTGGCCTCCACTTGGTGGTGGGAAGATTAGGGCCCCCTGGAGCGTGGAATCACGCTGTCAAGGGGTATTAGATTGGTTTGGTCGAGCACTTAGTTAAAAATTCTTTAAATTAAAATTAAAAATGCTTTTGGGTTTTCCGAGAAATTTCCATATTTGTAGTGGTTGTGATTAAAAGAACTGAATTTAATCTACTCCTTTAAATGCTGCTGCATATGTTTTGTAAATATATTTAATCACTGTGTTTGTTTCTGCACGGAAAATTGAAATTGAATTATGTGCCCTTTTGAATGCTTGTGCGTATACTTTGTAATTGTATTTCATTGTTGCGCCTGGTTGCTGAAGGGAAGGTTTGAATTCATTTGAAATTGAATGTCGCGCTATTTGGAAAATTATGTATATGTTTTGTGATAGTGTTTAATCATTTTGCTTTGTGAAAGGGAAGGTTGAAATTAGATAACCCTATTTGTGCCGAAGTAAATAAAAGTCAATTCTCCTTTGGTTTACATTTGGTTAGCACTGTCTAAGTTATTTTAATGAGAAGTAGGGCTGTCCCTTACGTTTATTGTTTTGTTTAATTTGCAAGTTGACCTATGTACATCGGTGATTAATTTGTTTGAATTAATTCTATAGTTGGACATTGATGCTTTGAAAAATTAGTTGAAATATGAGCATAGGACTACTTGTCTAACAGGCTGGCTAGTCTGTAGATTATCAGATGGAAATCAGCTGTCGCACCATTTGGTAAATGATTGTATGGTGGATGGCTTGGCTATGGCTACTTGTTTGAAAATTCATACTAGGGACTATCTGTGCGTTCGTTCGGCTCTCCACAGACGACGTTCATGGGGAATTTGGGGGTGCTCTCTGCACTGAAGCTTAGGAGGTCACTCTGGGCCGCTTCGTGTCATGTCGCTGTTTGCAGACCTGATCCGGTCGGATTGCGGAATTAATCATAAGAGCACAGACAGGTGTTTGAAAGAGGTCGTCGGATTTCTATCTAGGAATAGGACTTATTTATGGGCTGCGATGTCCAGGAAGGGCATCCAGTTCAACCCTCTGGCTTGCCCATGTTGGGGCTGTAATTTTGAGGCGTTGGTTAGGGTTGCAAGATCTGATGGGGTACCTAAGGTGACCTAGTTTTGGTGTAGATTCGGTCTTGCAACGTGCCGTCGCGACCCTTTCCCGCTTGCCGGTTTGCTCGCGGACATAGGTCCTTATGTCCGGGACGGGGATTTGTTCGGGGGCGCGCGGCTCGGTGCCATACCGGTTTTGACGTCGGTCGAGCGGTGGGTGTTGAGAACGCGTAAAGGCGAAAGCTAGTCGTCGGCCAGCTGTGCTAACGTCAGCACGCTGTCAATTTTGTGCGGGAACCGCGGAATAGTTTAGGCGTCTAGTAAATATCCTGTCTAGGATTTATAACGCGCATTCCTTGTTGGATAGCTTTTCCCAGGACTTATTGGGTCCGACTCAGAAGCTGTATAAGTGTATTCGGCAATATTAGCTAGAGCGGCCTTTGATATTCTAGAATTAACTGTTGCTACGCGAAGCGGTAGTGACCTTTGATCCGGACACTCCCTGTTAGTTTTGTGTGTTAAGCTTTAAAACAAACGAGAGTTAGTGGCTTCTGTAAGTTAGTTAATAGTACGATAGAGTTAATGGACTGTCATCGTGACGAACGAAGAAAGTGACTGTGGACGGCGCCGCGTAAGATTACCTCAATTTGGAGCGGTGCTGCCGCCCGGGCTGCGGCCGAATGTGAGATCTACTAAGGTCAATCACCATCAGTCACACCCAGATACACATCACAGCACCTTATTTCCCTTGCACTACACAACCACATGCGATCTGACCGAATCCTGAGGGAGCAGTCGCCTTGGATATAGGTAAGTAAGCTCCGTCTAATATTCTCCCTGTTGAATTGCCGTAGTATAGAACGCTCCCCCTTTTTTGTTTAGTGTAACTAGAGATTTTCCACTTTGGCCTTAGGAGGCCCGACCTACGTCTGCTCGTCGAAACTCAACTGAATGGACCCCTGAGGATTTGACCTTTATGGGAGCAGCCGAAGGCCGTAACAGCCAGCATGAAATACTGTCTCACTCTGCTGAGCACGCCAAGCTTTTTCCCTTTCCTTTTCCCTTTAGAGGCCAGTTTCTTCCCTTCCAAGTGACTATGAAACTGCACACTATTCGATATGTCGACGCCGAGGATTCCGATTACTGAGGCAGCAACATGAAAACTTAAAAATTTGTTATTCATTCTGTATTAATTCTACTCACCATATATTTAACTAGACAGTTATGAGCCGTCTTCACTTGGCGGATAAATCTTGATATTTTTTTAATTATGGCTGTGCACTCCCAACACAACAATAACGGTTGACTTATGGAGTCCTGGAATGAAACAAAAAATCCCTTTTTAGATCATCATCTTCTCAACTTATCGATTCTCTCCATATCTATGATATTGTATCTGTTCATCATCATCATGACAGCCCTTCATAAGTCCACTACTGAACATAAGTCTCCTTCAAGGACTGCCACAAAGCATTTTGTGTTATAACTCATCGGAGGATGTTTGCCATACAGAGTTGCCACCCTTGGTAAGCGGGTTGCAAACTGTAGTCTTTTAATCGTAATTCTGCTGATATCAGAAAGATGCTGCTGCCCATCCTGTAATCTCACCATAATCATAAATGTGAAAAGGGGCCAAGTTCAATACAAATTATGCTCAGGGTTGTCAGTTTAGGTGATAAAGGAGATGGTATCAGAACATGTACCAACTTCCATAACGGTTCCTTAAGTTCTTACATTTTCTACAGACTTCAAAAAGGAGACGGTACCCAATTCAACTGTATGTTTTTGTTTTTATGTGTGTTACCTCATAACTTTTTACTGGGTGAACCGATTTCGATGATTCTTTTTTTATTTGAAAGCTGGCGCTTCACATGTGGTCCCATATAAATTTGACCAAGGTCTGATGAATAGTTTTTGAGTTATTCTTAATAATTTATATTGAAGTCGGTTGTACAAATATTTTTAATTTTAAATTATGTAAAAAAAAAGAAGTGACAAACAAATTTACAATCCACCTGATGGTAAATGGCTGTTGCAGTCCATGGACACCTGCAGCCAACAGTGAACAAAGAGGCTACAGATACGTTGTCACCTCTGAGGACTGAGATGGAGCGCCTCGCAGTCCGTCATTATACTAGTTCTTGTAGTATATTGTGGGTAGATTGATATTTTGTATCGATACTGTACCTTCCTCTATACAAATAAATAAAATTGGAGTGTCTGTTTGTAACATTAAAATAACAGCTTTTCACTAAATGAATATGAAAGTATATAAGGTACTTATAACAAAAACACAATTTTTAAAATTTTTGTGTCTGTCTTGTATTTGTTCCGGCTAATCTCCGAAATGGCTGGACCGATTATTTTTTTTATAGGATAGGGTGACAAACAAGCACACAGTCCACCTGATGGTAAGTGGTTGCTATGGCCCATGGACATCTACATCAATCCTCGTTTACAAATCAAAATGCAGATGCGTTGTCACCCGTGAGGACTAAGATGAAATGCCACTTTTCCAGTAAAAAGGGTCTCTCCGTTTCTTTACACTCACCATACGAAACAGGTCGCAGGTGTTCCCAGGTCGAACCGACCCATTCATGCTACAACTATACTACTAATATAGCTGCAGCATGGCTCTACTACGTGATTTTGATTTTCACTGGCAGATAGCTGACGTTATAATAAGGAGTAACTTAGACTACTTTTGTTTTAGAAAAAGAATTAGGGTTCCATGCAAAAAAATTAAAAACTTAAATTACACGAGGGCAAAGTCGTGGGGAACAACTAGTAAAAATAATAAAATCAGTGTTGAACCAGCTAGCGTTTATTTTATTACAGTTCTCTATACTCCTCAGACCGGTACAGCAGTGCAGACACTCTTCCACAGCAGAAATAGGTAAGAGAGGAATATCTACCCGTTGATTTTAAAATAATTTGATTTAAAATTAGTAAGTTCAATGGGAAAGTTGGCAAGTATAGTTTATTAATTTTATACGTGGTAGAGCCATGCTGCACCTATATTAGTGGTATAGTTGTAGCACGAATGGGTTGGCTCGACTGGGGAAGGACCACGCTCTCACAGAATACCAACGTAAAATAGCAGCTTAACGCTGCTGTGTTTCATATGGTGAGTGTAGAGAATTTTTACTAGATATGTGGCATTCCATCTTGGTCCTCACGGGTGACAACGCATCTGCATTTTGATTTGTAGTAGAGGATAGATGTAGATGTTTATGGGTCACAGCAACCACTTATCATCAGGTGGACTGTGTGCTCGTTTGTCATACATATCCTATAAAAATAATTAAAGTTGTTATCCAGAAGACGCTGTTCCCCGTTTCCTGTTTCATTACCCTCCGTTGTATGTATGACACCCATGGGATATGTGGGGTTGTGGAATTCTAACAACACACAAACATGGTAAATAAAAACTCCATACTTTCTTGTTATTTTGTATACTGGTAATTATTTGGTATGTTTTGGTAAATGTCTTTAATAACTTTTACAGCTCTCAGGTAACACACAAGAGAACCAATGTTTTAAATTAATTGCAGAAGTAAGTTGTAAAGATTTTTCCTAATCTTATTATATTTATGATTGTAACACCTTAATCAACAAAGTATGATGAATACAAGTGATAAAAATAAAAATGTTGTACAACCAACTTCTCACAAACTACTGGTCAAAACTTGATCAAATTTATATGGGACCACACGAGAAGAACCAGCTTTCATAAAAAGAATCAGCGAAATAGGTTCACCCAGAAAAAGTTATGAGGTAATACACATAAAAAATAAAAAAATACAGTCAAATTTAGTACCTCCTCATTTTTAAAGTTGGTTAAAAATAGTTATGGGTCTAGTGGAAAAAAAAATTCTTGATTCAGTACTTTGTTCCTATAATGATTTCTAATATATAATCAAACACTACACATTGAATAATACTTTTATTCAAAGTGGGTTGGCTATAGATATCCGGTACTTAATTTTAATTATGTTTTCAGTTTAGGAGGCTTGTCTGGGCTAAGCATGAACCTTTTACACTGTTTTTGAATGTCGGAAATGAGTTTTGAATTAATTACGATAAATATAAATTTCACTAAAAATTCCGTATAACGAAACGCAAATATGACATTTTGTATAGTGTATGAGATTAGATGTCAATAATCGATGTAAAAAAGTGTGAAACGGGACAGTGTTGACGGCCATAATTTGGGCAACCGTAAATGTCAAATATAATATATTATCTATGATGTCAAATGTCAATTGTCATTCTGTTTCTCTAGTGGTCACACGAATGTTCTCTTGTGCTTAGTGCTGTGTTTTCCCTGTTTTTTTCGACGACTTCTGCTCTGTTTTTGAACTTATTTGATTTAAAATTACATTGTTTCATAACTCCGCCGTTGCCGGTCCCAAGCCCGGATGAGAAAGGAGGAGGGGACGAATCCGCCGGAGAGAGTGGGTGTATCCGGTGGACTAACACACCCACCTGCGCTAGGACCTGCGCAGTCGAGCGCCGTACGCGGGGATGAAGGAGTCCTGGAGGGTTGAGCCGATCGTCGCTGGGGTATATAGTGGCGAGAGGCAACACGCCCTCTTTGGTCCGGATTTCAAGCTAAACGGTGGCCCTATCTGCTAGCCACAGATAGGGAAATGGCCAAGCGCCCCGTCAGAGGGTCGCAGGCGAGGGATGTGGGGGCTGCCTAGTCTTCCTGAAAAGGGGGCTGGGTGGTGGTAAAGGCCATGCTGACGAAGCAAGTGACAGTTTATTCGGGTGGTGGGGATGGGCCTTGTCAGCCCCATCTACCAGCTGGATCGAGCTCCCGATGTCGCGCTGTGAGCCAACTTCGCGTCCCTATATTCTCCCGGTAATCCTAACGCCTGAAATTCCTTTTGCTTCTAAAGTAGGGCGTTCCCAAAGGTGCGGGCTCCATGGAGGGTGGGAAGCCGGGGGGATGAATTTTAAAAAACACAAATTATGGACAATTTAAGGCCCAATAAGAAAGAGGGAGAGGTGTCAGAGGTGCTTACCAGAGACACCAAAGAACAAAAGGGAACCGTCACTAAACCGACGGTTCCACGGACAGTACCGTCCAGCGTAGGTGCCCCCACCAAAGGGATAACCTCGCTGAACGTTTCCAAAACCAGTTCCAAGGAGCTGGAAGAGAAAAAGAAACAAGAGCCCGCAAGTGATAAAACTGCGGAGCCACTACGGACTGACGACCTTTTCTCTGCTGCCTGGCAAGTGGTGAGCCGTAAGGGGAAAGGCAAGGCACCCAAAAAGGTGACTTGCCGACCTGACGGACCATCAGGAGGGTTTATCCCTGCAGGCAGTAGTGGAAAGGCCAAAAAGAAGAACAAGAAGCAGCGGGAAAAAGGCCGTAGAGAATGAGCCGCATTGGCTGCTTCAGATACCAAAACCAAGGAGGCTGGGCAAGCTACTTTGACTGAGGTGCTTGGCGCTGGAACCAGTAGCCGCGCTGAAGCTGGGAAGGATAAAAATCCAGCCCAAGTGGAAGTCGCGGACGCGGGAACCAGCTCTAGGATATCCGCCAGGAAGCAGCGAGCGGCCAAGCGTCCTGGGAAGAAGGAAAGAGCAGCCAAAAGGATGCTGGAAGAGTCCACCTCGCCTAGAGGTGAACACAAAAAAGTGCGACTCGAACAGCAACCAAAGACTGCAAGAACGAGCTACGCTTCCGCTGCTAATGCAGATTTGGGTGTGGCCTTAACGTGTGCGCGTTCAGGTCACATTACGAAGGAAGTAGCAGACGACATCCTCGTAGCAATACAGAGGAAGATGATCAGCGAGGCCTGGAGTAGCCAGGACCCTGATGCGTCGGGCCCAGTTTTTAGGGGCAAACCCGTTTATACGGAAGGTGTCCTGAAACTGTGGTGCGACGATCAGAAGGCTCTGGACTGGTTGAAGGGGAACATTGCTACCCTCGACCTTAAATCCAGCACCTTGCTGACAATAAAGAAACAGTCAGAGATACCACAAAGAGTCAAATGTGGTATCCTTATCCCTGATGCCCAGGGGGCCTGGAAAGACTCACGCGACATTGGTCGCGTGTTGGCGTACCAGAACCGCTGGGTTAACATCAGGGACTGGCTGTTACTCAAGGCAGATAAGCAGACGGACGGGTGGTTCCTCGTTGTTTCGGTGCCGGAGGATCATATCCCGACCCTGATGAAGGCCGGACGCCGTCTCGCATGTGTATGCGGGGCGGTATACGTAAAATTCCAGGGTCGTGGAGGCAAATTCTTTGATACTCCACCGAGCAAAGAGGTAGAAAACAACCCGGAAGTTATGGATACCGG